AGCAGGAGGTTTTGGAGGCAGCAGCTGTCACTGCCATCACGGGCCTCCAGGTAAAGGGCAGCCTCATGCGAGCCCCACACACCCCCATCCCTTGCCATGGCTGCAGAGCTGGCCATGGAGTTGTGCTCCGGATGTGTGCCTGCCTCCCCCTCCCCTGGGCAGCCGGGCGGGCAGCATGTTTGTGGCCCGCACATGGCCACCACACTGCGTCCCATATCACTTGACCGCAAATTCCTCACCCCCTTGCCTCCTCCCAGCTATGATGTGCTGCCTGGGGTGGTAGCACCCCCTGCTCACTCAGCCCCCAACCATCTTCCCCAGCCCTGCCCCACAGCCCCCAAGCCCCACTTACCTCTAGGATCCAGGGGCGAAGGGCATGGCTCTGGTAGCAGTGCTTGCCCACAAATCGCTGCTTTTGGCCTGAGAACACTGCAGGCACCTGGCTGTATAGCGGGAATCAAAAGTGAAAGTTTGCTTATTGGTTCAATCTGTGCAGTTTAGACTAACCTGCAAAGATTGAATAGATTCAGCCTTGGCCTTTTGACTGTCTGTATTTAGCCCTTATATATGCATAAAGTTAGCTACTTATCTTCTATCAACAGTGTTCCCTTAACCCAAGTCAATGTCCACAAAGGAGATGGTTCTTTTCAGTCCCCAACTATCTAACCTTTTTCTAGAATGGTTTGATTCTGGGACACCTCCACCATATATGGTAGAACATTTGCTTGTTCCCGTACCTAAAATATGTTTAATTGTAAGTAGGATGAGATATCATCAGTGTGTTTTCTCGCATGCGACATGCACAGCTGGAAATTGGGGTGCACATTATAAGCAAGGAAATAGTGCAATAGCAGTTTCTTCTTTTGCTGGGGACAGCAAAAGTAATGCTGCTGTGCTATGTTGCATGTGGGACTCCCTAGCTGCTGGCTGTGGACACTTTCTTCCCTCAACCCCTCACTGCAGAAGCTGCTACTTGCTGGTATTTTCAAGGACATTTTTTTTTTTCTTTGTTCTGCCTTTCAAAAACATGGTGTGTATCTCTTTCTTTCAGAGGTGTGTTGTCTGTGATAAAATATGGTATTTTTGTGTTTGCTTTTGTCTAATGAGATACTTGTTTCTAAAATATTTTAAAAACTTTCTTGATACTTCAGAATTGCAGCTCACCAGTGTTTTACATAATGTATATGTGGGTAGTGACAAAATTCACGTACTTGGGTCACCTTCATTGCTAGCATGATAAGAATATGTAAGAGGTGGATGGGAAAACACTCCAAATTTTGAATTCTCTAAATTTGCTTTGACACTTCTAGTTGAGATAACAAAACATTAATCTCTAGCACAGGGATTATCGGTGCTTTTGGCTTCAGTGCCAGAAAGGCCCCAACCATAAGCCATGCCTCAATTTGGTGTGCCAGGGGCAGATGGCAGGGCAGCAGCTATGAGGAGCCTGATCCTTGTTGCTGGTGGCGGGTGCATGTGTGCCTCTGGGCTGAGGGCAGGGGAGGAGCTGGGGCAGCGTAACCCTGGCCCCTCCCTCACCATCAGCCCAAAAACACATGTAGTCTCTGGGGCTCTGGACCCCAGTGCAGCTGCTTGCAGCCTCCTGGCTGCCTGTTACATGGTTTGCCATGGAACTCCAACTGCTTGCAGCTTCCTAGATGCCTGCTGCAAGCAGCCTGAGGTCCATGGCCAGCAGCAGCTGCCCAGAGCCCAGGCTGGCTGTGGTGTGCCAAACAAAATGGCCATGTGTGCTTGGTGTTGCTGACCCGTACTCTAGTATACTGTTAGAAGATTGTTCTTCTAGATTGTTTTTAAGAGTCAATATGCTTCATAATAACTCTTTAAAGTGAAAGAGTGGAAAAATGGGACTAAATAATAAAAAGTGCCAATTTCAGCTAATTGGCACCATGGTGTTATGAACTGATGTAAAATATCTAAGAAATGTAACTTTTAATTGTAGTGATGATGAAGATTTCTTTGAAGATGAAGAAGAAGAGAAGACTCCAGTGAAGAAAGTGAGTCCTTTTACATGCTTGAAACCATGAATTGACTGTTTTCAGAAATTGTTTTGTTTTTTGTTTGTTTCTTTTTTTTTGACACGTTGGAGTGTCTAATGGTGCAAGCGTGGGAATGTAGATAACCAGCACTTATCTTAATAAACAATGCACTACTGGTCTGAGAGAAGACAAAAAGGAAGAATGAGCAGACTATCCATAATAAACCTTTTATCTCAAATGGCAAGAAAATACTCTAGTAACCTGTGAGGTAGGCTTTTTCTTGGGATTGGAGACCCTTTGCAGAACAATTAAAGCCTTGTGCCAGAGGGAGCAAAAAGGGACTTTGTGCAAGAATTTGTGGGGAAAAAAAGGGACTTTCTATGCAAGAATTTGCATAAGTTCTGATCTCTTCACTGAAGACTGACTGCGCATGCTTTATTTTAAACTGTCATTTGCTAACATGTATAAGCAGCCTTTGGAATAGGGATTGCAGTCTGCTTTTTTTTTCTCTTTTTGTCACTGAACTAGTGAGTTGACGAGGGTCTCGGACATGGTGTTTTTTTTCTTCCCGCCCCCCCACCGAATTGCACAGTACCTCAGTTTCAGTAGGAGGAATAGACATCCCAGTGCAATCTGTAGCAGGTGTTTAGAGCAGTTCTAGGTTTAGAGCTGTGTTTGAATCCTGTCATGATGGTGAGGATGCAGATTATGTATAGAGTTATTGCAGAGGAATACCCAGAGTGTTTTTATTAACATACTCTTCAGATTTGGAGTGGAACATGGGCAGCATATGCTCGGGAACCAGCAGATTGGGACATCCTGCAACTGCAGTATAAGTCCTGAAAAAAGCAAGGTTTAAGAAACAGCTCTGTCTTCCACAATGATCTTAGGTACCCAGTTCTGGGGCAGTGTTTTATTTGGGGGAGGTAATGGAGGGGAGGTTGGCCAGGTAGGTTGCCAGTCACTTAAACAAATGAGCTCAAGGAAAAGGACCCATAATACAGTACCAAACCACAGTCAGAATATAGCTGTGGTTTCCAGTAAGGATACCATTTTTGTTTCCTGTTCTACTGTGTAACCTGTCTTCAAATGCCTGAAGTATGCAGCTTTCACATTGATTCTGTTTGAATGAATTTTCCAAACTTGTAAGGGAAGAACATTGGAAGAGTGAACCTGTTAACCTGAGACTTTCAAGCAATAGTTACTCCAGATTCTTATGGATACAGGCCTATGACACATTTAATTTAGTGTAGGTTATATCAAATATGCACTAGTCTCATTGGTGTTATCACACTTGGAGTTCCTAGTACAGTCCCTTACCACTAGGTGGTGGGAAGCCATTTATGAACCTTTTGACTACAACCTTTGTGCTGCAGAATGAGGTTAAGTGTAATACTTGCATACTTTCAGCCTGCCCGGGATTCTTCAGCAAAAAATAAGCAGAAATCAAAACAGAATGGAAAAGATTCGAAGCCGTCCACACCAGCTAAATCAAATGTGAGTGATCACTTGGTAGCTGTTTTAATACCATTTTAATTCCGGTGTAAAACAAATTTGTTTCCAAAATCTAAATGTATGCTTGAAGTGAACACAGTATGCCCACAGTGCCAGCATGTCTTGCAGTTAAATCCCTTTGGAGGTCCGTGCAATTCAGTAGTATGTCAAGGGATGTTGGGTGGTATGGCAGTCCTGGATTATTTGTCATAACTAGTGTTCCAGTTTAAACTGGTATCATTTTGTTCGTGCAGTTTTACAGGTTTGGGGTAAAATATTTCTCTCTCTCTCGCTCTTCCTCTCTTTCCTCCTCTCCCCCCC